AGAATTAGAAACAGATTAAGGTTCCAGTTAACAGCCAGTTTAATTTTAAATACCATTAAACTGTCGTCAAACACGAGCTGAAACTACCGCCTTATTAGTCGCCTGCAGATGACCCACCTTGACGTTTAAGCCACTTGCAAAATTCTCCTGGCCAGACGCTTTAAGAGCCGTCTTGGTAAACTCGCCATAGAGCACCCGACTTACCTGGCATCATAATCCAATCAAGAACTTCACCGAACTCATTACCGCCCGCTGAAAATCCACTCAGTTCCCCATTAACGACTTAGTAGCGTTTTAAAAGGTGGAAAAAAGAGCTTTAATCGCTGCCTGCCCGCCTGCTGCTGGTTATCCTTTAAACGGATTTTCCGAAAGGGGTTGTGTACAGCGACATTTTCCGGGGAAATCGGTGGGGAGGGGGGCAAGGGGACCTGCTAAAATTACAGCACGACCTCATTAGCAGCAAATATTTTGGCGTTCGTTCGTGCTCAGTCACTCAGGCACACAGATAGAGATACAGATACATTTGTATATTTAAGTACTTCATGGTTAGCGCGTAAATTAATGGTTAAGCCATCGCCGGTTGTTGGTCGTTTTGGGCTGTGTTGTTGCCAGTGGTTGGCAACCGCAGGCGGGGGGTTAAGGAGGTTAAGGGGGTAAATCTGACCATAACGAAGGGGGTTAACCCATTGGATCGCCCGCCGATGGGCACGTGACTGCCGGATGGCAGTTTATCTGTGAAAATCGCCCCCCTCACCTACGCCCTTGGCGATAGTTGGCCTCACGGAGCCATCGCTAAGCACAGAGCTCACCACCCCCCCCACTTAACCCCCTTAAAACCAAGCCCCTGGTGATTAAATTTTAGCCACAAGACAAGTGCTAAATTACCGCGGCCCAAAACAAATCAAAATCAGGCAACTGTGCATTGCAAATAGAAATAACGCATAGCTGCGCGGATTACCCCTCAGCCACTGCCACCGCCCCTGCCCCTGGAAAAGCTAGCCCCCTTGGCAATCACCTTTCAGGTGTGAGTGTGCGCCACTGGCATCCAATGACAACAGGCTACCGAAATCCAAGACACGGCTGCAATCTTGTGCGGATTTCATGGGGATTAATTAAAATTGCCAATTACGAATTCATTAAGGCAGATCAAATTCCGAGGCGGGGCCCATTAAGGCGGCTCTCGTTACGGCCGGAAAATGCCCTACATTGGCCGGAGACGGCCGGCTTCCGGGTAACGGGAATTGGAACTGAAACTGGAAACGGGATTCGGATCCCCTGCCCGTCCTGGCCACATTTTCCCAATGAGTTGATTGGGCCAATTTCGAATATTGTCTATATTTTCGGACAGGATTTTTTGTTATTCAACCATTTCGGCCTTGAGTTGTTAAAGTATTCTTGAAAACATGAGGTATTTTTTATAACTGGTGTTGAACCACTTAAAAATTACTCAAAAGCACAAAATAACTTTATTTAGTCTTAGAAAATAAATTGTTTAGACTTAAATTGTATAACAATTGTTTGTAGTTGAATATTTAGCTTGCTTTAAGGCTAAATTAATACTTATGTAAGATACATACCGGAATATTATAATGATATAGCCATATACCTCCTGCAATCACTATACAAGCACCAACACAAACACACCACCTATGGGAACTTCCGGTCAACTAAAATATTGGCTGACCATAGCACCTAGCTCGTAAATTTTAAGCTAGAACTAATTGGGAATTATAAGTTCCCACGGAGGTGGTAATTCTTTAATGATTTTATCGATGACGTGGCCTTTAATACCATTAATTTTACATTTATATTATATATACATTTCTTGGTCATTCATATTTACGTACAAAGAGCCTCTTATAAAATTTGATTTTTCAATCAGTCAGAAATCAGCACTGTTTATTCCTAGATATTTTTTTTTTCAGATCTGTTGCCTCGTTTAAAAACAGTTTTTAAGTGGGTCCCAATCGCAGTCTCAATCTCAATATTGGATTCCGTCTCCCATTTCAGTTTGGCAATTGTTTGTCACTTTGGGCTTAAACCGAGAAGGCAGACTGGCAGAATGCGTTTTAATCACCCGATTGTTGGCACAAATCGGGAGAACGAATCGGAGGGCTGGGCGGTAAATTGTAGGGATGTTCTCGAGGTCCCGAGGTCCCGAGGTTTCGAGGCGGGGAAATTGGAGTCTGCGGGTCCCAGAGTCAGGCAGAGTCGAAGTAATTTAACCGAAATACACGGCATACTTTGTCATTCGCGGAAGCGGACCAGAGCTTCACCCCTGGGCGGGCTTCTAATTAATTTGCGTTGACATTGGCGGCAACTCGGCAGTCGGCAGTCGTCAGTCGGCAGTCGGGGGTTAAAGGTTGCGAGTCACCAACTGCTGACATGCAACAGATTTATAACGTTATTTGTTTGTCGTCTGCAGTCGGCAGTCTGCAGTTTGTTGTGGCAGCTGCGGCTCACTTTTTGATTGCCTGGCAGCAAAAAGGAAAAGCGGTGGAAAATCACTGGAGGAAGAGCAGACAAAAGCGCCGCACGAGCAAAGCGAGAATGGGAATGGGAATGGAAATGGAAATGCGACTGGGAATGAAAATGAAAACTGTGTCGCACATCACTCAGGAAAACTCAACTCAACCCGTATCAACTCAACTCAACTCATCTCAATTCAGCTCAACTCGAGTCAAGTCAAGTGGCCAAGGACCAAGGACTGAGGACTGAGGACCAGACAGACGCACGACAGGATTAACCCTCCGGGAGCGGAGGACCCTTTTGGCAGTGAGGGGTTCTTAAAAAAGCGCCAAGGAGGGTTCTTGATTTCGGGAATTTGCCTTGTGAAGGCGACCCACTCTCGCTGAGCGATGGCAGATAAGAAAACGACTAAAAACCCATTATTAGCACCAACTTAAAACCGAGAGAAGTGAAATGAAAAATTTTAACTTAGCCAACCCCGCGTTCCCTAAGAAAGTTAACTACCTGAAGAAAGGTGACCCGAATTTGAACTTTTATAGTCAAGAACTTAGCTAATCGGAAACTTCTTGTAATGTGTTCATCGTTCTGGGGACATCAAAAACCAAGCTTAAAGTTACAACTCTCTAAAAGTTGATCGTGTCTTCTTGTGAATAAGTGTAAGATTTAAAGTGGGCTTAATCCCCAATAATCTTTATTACATATTTTCAGATTTAAGATGCTAGCCAATGGCTCTTTCAAGATGACAAATCTGAGAGATGGCCACTAAAAGTGTTATAAAGTGCCACATACAGGGTGTTGGGCCCATAAATCTACGAATAAAATCGCTCAATCTGGTGGCAAGACAAAAGTTATGGGTTCATTAACACTAGACAATAACTAATTTGAAGCAGCAACAGCTGGGCCGCACAAGAAATGTGCTTTAATTAATGAACATCTGGCCAGAGGAATTTGTCAGAGATTAGGGATTCCGGCCACATCCTCAGAAGTCATTGAGTCAATGGCGAGCACAAGCAGTTAGTTATAAGTCCCGGGCAATAAATAACCAGCCAAGACGGTGGCAAGCCAAAATCCTTTGTTGCGAGTCGCGGGTATTTACATATTTTTAATAACGTGCTCGCAAATCAACTGAAGCGAGCCTGTGTGTGAACTTGACATCAAAATGAACAAAACACGGACCCGGCGAGGTTAAATCATATTTGACAAACAGCAAACAAACAAGGGGCGAGAGCACGCATGTGTACATTCCGGAAAATGCAGGGGAAAACTGGGGGGCGGGGCTGTGGGCGGTGGGAGGTGGGCTGGAAAACAGACAAGGTGTCTGAGCGAGTCGCAACAACGCCTGCCATATGACACATAAATATGTCCCTCCTGCCTCCCGAAAACAATGTACAAATAAAACAATACAAAATCATCAGCCATCAGGAGCAGGCTGAGAAAGACTGCAGGAAGACGCTTTATTATATCATTCACTCTGAGGGAATGAAAGTTCAGTTTAAGCTTTAAGGGGAAATTTAATGGGAGAAATTGACCAAGCTTATATAATCCCTATACTGTAAGACTTATATAGATCCCAGACATATTGAGATAAGACAAGATTTTGGAACCATCTTTCAAACAAGCTGAAAAACATTAGTAGTGCCAAGCAATTTATTTAATTTAATTAAGTTTTCTCAGCACTTGCCTTAAATATTTAAACATATAAATATAATAAATTTATAGCAAATATATTAACTATACAGATAAATTTCTTTTTATTTAATTTAATAAATATAACCCATTGATAACTTAAAAAAATACATCTATCGCCACAGACTCGACACCAATTCTATCACCAAGCTTAACTGCCTTTCAATATTTTCCGCTACGAAAAACTGTGAATGACGCGCCTGGGGGCGGGAAAGTGGAAAAGCGGAAAAGCGAGGCTGGGGCGGGGTGGGCGGAAAATCAAAGCGCCAGACAAGTGGGCCGAGTCGAGTCCCCAACATGTTGAACCTGGCGACGACGTCGTCGCGTTGATGATAACGCCGAGGACTCCAGACAAAGACGCCGAGCTCTTGACTTTTTTGACTTTGTTATTTATTTTATTTGCCCCCCTTGGCGCCCCTCCCATGTTTTTTTGTCAGCGACAAATCGACATTTGCTGCATTAAATGCTGATCAAATACACTTCCGCTCGTTTATCTGTGTAAATATTTGAGCGGGCGGGCTAACAAGTTTACAGCCACTGGCTGGATGGCAATGAAATGACGCAAGAAAAGTTGGAAAACTCCCCAACCCTTGATGAAATACCATTCCATTTCCCAGAAGCTGAAACAGCAACAGCAACAGAAACAGACACAATTGAATTGTTAAAGAGGGAAATCTGTTGACAGGCAGGGAACCGAAATAGCATCCATGGAGGCCTTGAGGCCCGGCAAGTGTCAAAGTGTCCCCAGCTAAATTTAGGCCTCACCCTGGGCCGGAAATTGAGAGTGACACCAGTGGAAGTACAGGGTTCAGGGTAATACATAGAGCTATATACGTATATCTCACCTCCGCCGGGAACGTGTAGCCCTCGACGCTGTGCTCCGATCCGAACTGGTCGTTCAGCCCGTAGTGCATGTGTATCTCGTGGAAGCGGTAGCGGTACGAGAGCGGTCCGCCCGAGATGTTCACCGGCGTCTGCATGCCGTCGTAGTTGGCCACCGTGTCGTTTCCGGCCGTGAAGATGACGCTGTGGCCCGTATTAGTGATCAGTCCGGATATCTGGGGGAGATAGGTGGGTTATAAGTGGGCTATATGAGATTTATATAAGAATCCAAATCTGATATCTTTAAGAAAGTATATTATTTATACACTAAGATGCCAATAGACAAATCTGTAAAAAAGATACATGGCTTAAAAGCTCTTGCTCTTAAAATAAATGATAGAGGATAGAGAAATTATTACGACTTAAGATTGCTATACTATTTATCAGAAAAATGTATGTTCCATTAAAAAAAATAAAATATACAAATTAAGAATCCTTTGTGTATTGAATATTAATTAAATATCTATATATAGCTGAATAATATGAATTTAAAAAAATCAGAAATAATATTAAAAACCTAATTTACCATCTCAAAAATAAAGGTCAAGCATTTGGGCTCAATCAATGCCTATTCCTAATTCATAGGAAACAGTTTTATACGAGTATATACAAATATCAGTGATTGGCTTTATAATATACATAAAATTCGATATATATGATATACAGGTCACCAAAAAAATTAGCATAATATGTAAGGATATAACTAAAAAGCATGAGTTATTGCTCAGCACTACAATAATAAAGCAAGTCAAGAATAAATGGGATATCTTTTGATCTAAGCTCATGTCATTCCCCAAGGGATTTCTTTAAGGGATGGGGAACCCCCGACTCACCCTGTGCTTGTCTATGTGCATGGGCCGCAAGTTGGGATCGAAGAGCAGGCGCTGGGGCTCCAGATTGACCGGCGACTGGCGACGACCCTTGTTGCAGAGCGACCACTCCGGATTGATGAGCCCCCAGAAGGCGGGTCCTGAAAGGGGTATAAAGACAGTACACTCTATTAGACGGGCCGTTCGAATCGATCCCAGTATCCCCGTTCCCCTCCAGGGTGGCAGGAAGATTTATGAACCCAGTTCGCCTCAAACTGTTTCCAAAGTTTCCCAGCCGACCACAATTGTGGGTTGTTGGTTGGCTGTGCTGCAAAAACCTGCCACAAATTGCATAATGGCAGAGGGGGTTAAGGGGGTTCCAAGGGGGGGGCCAGAGGCCATTACAATATTTGTCTGCATCTGCATAGGTGTTGCCCTGCGTTGGTTTTGTTTTTTTTTTCGGTTGGTTGTGCGTCTCTTTGATTCTGGCCTCACAACTAAGCCGTATAGCCGTACAGCCATACAGCCCCCTCTCCAGAAGCCCCTGACTTGTTTAATTTCGTGCGGTTTGCTTAGTTTTTCAGTCCCACTGTAACACTGAAATTGCAGCTTTATCTTCCGTCTCTCTCTCTGTCCCTGTCTATGTTCTATATCCATCTCTTTCCCTGGCTTTGGCCAACTTTATCTGGCAACTCGGCAGCTTAATTTATGGCAATATGAAATCAAGCTGAGCTGCCCCAAAAAACAATAGGCCGCCTTTTTTATTGCCAGTTCCCCGGGCAAGACATTCCCCTACAGAGTTTGTTGCTATTGTTGGGCTCGCATAATCTATGGTCCTTGTATTTTCAGCAATTGAAAGTGTTTCATTTGGGTTGAGGACCTATGGATTTATGGGTAATTTCGTTATGTACTTTATGGGTGTGCTGATCCCATATAGTTTTAATCCAACTAACAGGTGTTCTACTACATTTTATTCTGCATGGTTGGCTGTGTCTTAATTGAGTTTATGCTTTTTATTTATATTCTTAGTTTATCCCTTGCCATTCCCCATGTTTTTCGCTTGCTTGCTCAAGGATCAACCCATTATTAAAACCTCTTCTGGGCGTTCCATTCGAGTCCGTTCCGTTCCAGCCACTTGTAATCCCATTTATGGCACACATTCCCCCTTGAATTTCTCTCCTCCCCACAGCCGTATCCATAAAAATGCTTCGCCTGCAGTCGCATTGCGTATACGACACGTAGTACGTAGTCTGGTTGGCAGGGGCGGTTGGCTGGTGGAAAAAAAGGGGGCGGGGGCACCCTGGGAATCAACACGTTCGCTGCGAGGCCGCAATCAGGAGCTTCAATCATAGATATGCCACGTACTCGCGTTTAAGCGATTGTTGACCTCAACGACGCCATCGCATTAGCCAAAAAGAAAGCCAAAAGAAAAGCGGATAGGAAAAAGGGACGCGGAACGGGGAAAGTAATCCTAAGAGTGGGAAAAATAACCAGTGTGGCTGATGAAAAACTGGAGATGCCACGGGCGTTAAATGGGTTAAGCAATTAACTCTCTGGAGCGTGGCGATCTCAAAAATGGATTAGTCTTAGTGTTACAGGTTCTCAAGATACAAGCTCTGGTTTTATAGCCAGATTTAAGGAAAACCTTTAACAATTAATCATAGATCTACGAGCCGTATTTATTATTTTATCATTTCTACGGTCAAAAGAAAATTTCATATTCAGCTTAGTAAAGAGATTTAAAAGTTCTTGCAAATAAATTATTTGGTTAAATATTTCATGATTATAAATAGGATTTTATTAAATTTAAATAAAATTCATATTTTATCCAACTAATCCAAGCAATTTTAAGTGCTTATGAAATTATAGTACGAATAAAACGCCTGTTTATATGAAGATCATTTAAATAAACACAATTTTAAGGATCTTATTTAATTCAAATACAATTCAAGTCTTAAATAAGCTTCCAGTACTATTAAATTGTAATTTAATTTAATCATAAAATATTATTTAAATTTTCTTTATACATTTTAGCCAGTTCAACAAAGGGGATTTTAAGGATTTTACTGAGTCCAAATGGGAATTCTAAAATTCAATGTTCTATGATTATGAAACATGTCTAAAATAAATATGTGCACATATTTTATTCATCTAAAGATGAGGCTTAAGGATTCCAAACTCGTGTCACGTTCTCATCGCCGGTGCAATTTCGCGGAGTGTGGCAGGGAAAGTCGGGGGGTACGGGTTCGAGCACGGGTAGAAGTCTTCAGATAACGCCGAGGATGTTGCAGTCTCGAGTCTATTAAATTGCGGTCTGGAGTCGAGTCAATGAGGCAATTGCCAAACGATTTTAGCAGCCATTAACAACATTAGTGGCTTGGCTGACTGGATCGGGATGTGGATGTGGAAATGGAGGTGCAAGTGGATCCACGGGCTGTTGCCTTGCTGGGTGGTTTTACTTTTTTTTAACCCAGATAGTTGGGTGGTGCCAAAGACCAAAGACTAGAGGCGGTGGCATGAAGCACGCTTCGTTTGATTCCGTTTGGCCGCCTTTATTTGGCTCGTTGGGAGTGCAAATCACGTTAAACAAGTGGCACGTTGCAGCTGCAACTGCAGCTGAGGCTTAGCCGTCTTTTTCGGGGCAACCTTTTGCCATTCGACCCCCCTTCTTACCATTTCAGTGGCTCAGTGGCGCCCCCTGACGAGGGATTTCGAGTCCTCCAGCCGACATGCATGCAATGCTTATGTAAATTTATTTATGCCAAAAGAGACACAAAGTTCGCCTCGGATTTCGGTTGCAATTTGTTGACAACACGTGTTACAAGATACCCCTGTTTCCAGGCTTTTACACGGCGAGAAAAGGGGGCATCGAACTTGGAATCACGGGTTATTGCTGTTTTATCTTAAGATTTGTACATCCATTTTTTATTCTAGTCACAGAACATCAAATTCAATATATAAAACAAATTCCTGGTTGTTGATCTCCCATTTTTAGATTTCAACTAAATATGTATATATGACCCGCGTTGTTTCTAAATCTGTTGTTCATTTGACCGATAATTGAATTTAAAATTACCCTTAAAATTTTGTTTAATACATCTATTGTTTTCAAATCTCTAGAACTCAAAGAAACTTATTAAGTCTTAGTTCATTTCTAGCACCATTCTCCTGCAGAGCTTTGGTATTATGCACTTTAAGTTTAATTTCCAGCACTCTCTTTTCCCCGTTCGCCAAATCCAATTCAAAATTCAAAGCACTTGAACTTATTTATGCATTTGTCTTGTGCAAATGGCGTCGCCGTTGTGTCTCTAATAAGATTAAGAAAGATGCTTTCACCGAGCAGCGGGGGGCGTGGGAAAGGGGGCGTGGCTGGGGAGGGAGAAAGGGGACAGAGGGACAGAGACGGAGCAACGCTTATCGGCTGTCTGCCGTCCTGTCTGGACATAATCTCCATGGACCTTTGCCCCGATTTCGCCGCCAGCAGTGACACATGGCGAACTGTTCTCCATTTCTCCGATGGCGATGGCGATGGCATTTCGGCTCTCCGTTCTCCCCTTTCTCCGCATTCTCTAAAGCCCCCTCTCGCTTTCTTCTGCAACGTCTGGGCCTCTGCTTATCACGTTTCAACGCCAGACAATGGGTGGAAAAAGGAAAGTTCGCTCTTTCTCCGCTGGGCTCTTTGAATACTTTGTCTGCCTTTCCATTTGACAGCTGCAAATCGGCTTCGTCTCCGCTTTTCCACCCTCCACCCCCAACCATTTTCCATTTCCAGCCCCCTTTCCATTTCCTTTTGGCTCTTTTCCCATGCATTTCACGCGTGCAGCTTCAGTCGCTGAGAAAATCGTTTTACACCGGCAACAACCAGAATCGCCCATGGCCTTTCCGCGACCCTTCGAGCAGGTGGAAAAGCAATTCCATCTACCCCCCTCCCACTTGGATTTTCCCCACCCACCCAATTTTCCCTTCAACTTTGTTGCTGTAGCGACGCGTGCTGCTCGTTGGCTGAAAATTTTACTTTCCGCTTCCGTCCGTGGTTATTGTTGAGCTTTGATTAAAATTTACTTTGTTGTTGGTATTTATGAAACTTAAACGGGGGCGGCACTGCCGGAAAAGCGGAAAAGCTTACCCGAGATGCCATCGTATGTCCACCAGTCCTCCCAGCTGACGGCGAGCAGAACTGCAAAGAGAAAGCGGGGAAAGTGCATCAGATTTCGGATTTCATATTTCGATTTTCGATTTTCGAGTTGATGAATATAAGCCGCGAACATGTCAAAGATCTGATTGGGTCAATATATATACACCCAGCTTTAATACCTTATAATGTTTACCTGCAGGTGGGGACTTAAAAGTGCAGGTAAAATATCTGGGAGCTTGCAAGGGATTTTACATTTTAATGACTTTCGCTCTCGTTTCAATTTGACTTTTTCGAAACGGCTATTTGTATAGATTTTTCCCTTCACAACTATTGATATCTTTGTATGTCAAAGACCCCAATTAAAATATATAAGCTAGGGTTTATTTAAATATTATTTAATTACCATGAACTCACATATTGTGTAAGGTCCGAATATTATTCGTATATTTTAAAGATGGAACATAGTTTAAGTCTTATAATCTATTTTATATATGTTTTCTCGTTATAATAAATATTATTACATAACATAAACATTTTTTAATTTTACAGCTTTTTTAATATAATTTAATTTCCATAAAATAACATATGGTTAAAGGTCCCAATATTGTCATTACATTTTAATGATAGAATATAACTCAAGCTGTATAGTCTATTTTAAAATAAATGTGATTCCTTACACTGCCTCTCCACTAAATTAATGGCACATTTCCATTGTTTCAAAAACATGATGAATAACTTATTTACTCGTCTCGTTTAAGCAGCCACTTTTTTTCTGCATTTATGATAGGGCATCACGAATTTGATTCGAAACTTTTTCGGGCTGTCCTTCGTGTCCTGCACTTTGTGAAAATGATTTTTGCTTACTTGCCTTTTAATTTTTTCGTGTTCGAGTTGGTTTTCGCTTTTTGTTCGCCGGTTCGTTGGCTCGTTTTTGTTTTGCGGCTGCTTTGCTCTTTTTGCCTTTTGCTTTTTGCTCGCCCGTAAATTCACTTCCGTCACTTGTTAACTTTAACATTCATCGACACTTTTTGCCTTTTGGCCCTTTTTTTGCACCTCACTTTTTCTGGCTTCTGGCTTCTGGCCTGGGAATGCAGCTGAAGCACTTTGTTATTTTGACAGCCGACAAAAAGCGGGCCAATGCCTTTGCCCAGAAGCAACCCTTTTGGACCAGCAACCTGCACTCTTTCTTTCCTTCCGCGACTCGAATCAAAGTCAAGAAATGTTGAGTCATTAAAACGCGTTACCAGACCACCCGCACCCCCCTCGCCGTAATCCACCCACTCCCCCCGTTCCCCACAAAGTGCAGTGCGAAATGCACTGTAGTTTCCGGCAAGGAGTTCCTCGGTCTCGGCAAAAACCCCAACGAACTCGGGTTCCACTCCAGATATTCTTGTGAAACTTTCTGGAGGGTGTTATTAGGTAAAAAGAGGTATATTTACTAGCGATCCCTTGGGAGGTTGTTCTTTTTTTGGGCTGAACTTGGGTCATATTATTTTGAAAACCGATCCTTAAATAACATTTATACAAAATACAAAAAACTTATAATTAACAAAGAAATTTTGTTAAGCAATTTAAAGCAATAGCTCTATAAACTACATATCATTTGTTACAAAAAAACAAATAACTATAACCATATATAACTATTTAGCCAAGCCAAACTTTGGGTCAAAGCAACCCAGAGTTCCCAGCTTTTTGTTTAGCCCTTTGAAATGTTTTGTAAAAAGCGCAAAAGCCAGGACTAAAAAAACCTTGAAAATTTTGTGACGAGGGAAGGGCGAAAAGTAAAAGGCAACGACAAGAGCAACATCAACGAGAGTAATAACAATAATAATAATAATAATGCAAAGTCATGGGCAATGATTGAAATTAATGGATTTCTAAATGCTCAGCGTCATTGCAGCCCCCTTCTCAACCCTTTAGCAACTGAAAAAGGGGGTTAACCCGCTGTCGACAAATTGTGGCTTTGGCTGAATGTTGCGCACTGCGATTCATACAATCTCTTTGTGATTCGTAATTTGTGTGGGGCACTTGACGATTTATTCTAACAGCAAAAACAAAACTTTTAATATGCCGAATCTTTAATATCCAACAGAATGTATAGTTTCTTTAAAGATATTCCAAAGAATATACACAATGAAGAGTCCCTGAAACACCAAAAGGTATGTTTATTCAAATTGTAATATTCCGAAACTTTAATATCCAACAGAATGTATAGCTCCTTTAAAGATAATCCAAATATCTGACTATACTCCCTCGAAAATAGAGTCCCTAAAACACCAATAGTAGGTTTATTTAAACACCCAATCTCCAAGTCTCCGATTTCTCATTAAGCTCTAGGTGTTTTTATTCTCCCAACTTTACACACTTCACGAAAAGTTTTTAAGCTTTTCTTTTTTGTAAAGAAAAACAACATCTCGAATAAATTCTATTCAATTCGCTGGTTCTCCCACTCTCCTTTGGTTTTGTTTGTTCATTGAATTCTATTTATAAATTTTCACCTGGCTGCACGTCCCCTCCCCCTCCCCTCACCCACTCCCCTCCACCTACACTACACCTGATTCTTCTGTTGGCTTCTTCTTGGCCTTCTTCCATTCCTCCTTGGTCTCGCAGTCGCAATCATAAAAGGCAACAAAATGTTGAACAAATTTTTATGGCTGCACAAAGCAACAGAAAGTGACAAAGCGAGAGAGCAGGGCAAAAAGTCACCAGTCCAGGATACACCGAAAAAAACTGATAGGCATTTTATAATAAAATATCATACATGTTATATTATAAAACTCTTTTAAAATATAAATTTTAACTTAGAATATTAGAGAGTTCAACCACAAACTCATAGAGGTATCCCACTTGAAAATCGGTATCAGATTACCCAAGTTATGCATTGCAGAAGTGCAGTTTTTGGTTCTCATTATGAAACCCAGTGGAAATACTGAAAAATCAAACATGAAAATGGGTTAAAATTTTGACCCTCGTTTAAAAGAGAGATTTTGATGCAGAATGTTAGATAATTCAACCACAAACTCATAGAGGTATCCCACTTGAATATCGGTATCAGATTACTCAAGTTATGGATTGCAGAAATGAAGGTTTTGGTTCCCTTTATGAAACCCAGTGGAAATACTGAAAAATCAAACATGAAAATGGGTTAAAATTTTGACCCTCGTTTAAAAGAGAGATTTTGATGCAGAATGTTACATAATTCAACCACAAACTCATAGAGGTATCCCACTTGAAAATCGGTATCAGATTACCCAAGTTATGCATTGCAGAAGTGCAGTTTTTGGTTCTCATTATGAAACCCAGTGGAAATACTGAAAAATCAAGCATGAAAATGGGTTAAAATTTTGACCCTCGCTTAAAAGAAAGATTTTATGTAGAATATTAGAGAATTTAACAACAAACTCATAGAGGTATCCCACTTGAAAATCGGTATCATATTACCCAAGTTATGGATTCTAGAAGTGCAGTTTTGGGTTGCCATTATGAAACCCAGTGGAAATACGGAACAATCGAACATGAAAATGAGTTAAAAGTTTTTAATGTAGAATATTAGAGAATTCAACCACAAACTCATAGAGGTATCAACCTCCAAAATCGGTATCCAATTAGCAAAGTTATGGAATTTAGAAGTTGAGTTTTGGGTTCATATTCCGAAAGCCATTGGAAACACAGAAAAATCAAACATGAAAACGGGTTAAAATTTCGACTCTCCTTTAAAAGAAAAATTTTAATGTAGTCCATTAGAAAATTCAACCACAAACTCGTAGAGATATCAACCTTCAAAATCGGAATCCAATTAACAAAGTTGTGGAATTTAGAAGTTGAGTTTTGGGTTCCTATTCCGAACACCATTGGAAATACGGAAAAATCGAACATGAAAGGGGGTTAAAATTTTGACCCTCTTTTAAAAAATAGATTTTTATTTAGAATATTAGACAATTTAACCACAAACTCATAGAGGTACCCCACTTGAAAATCGGTATCATATTACCCAAGTTATGGATTGATGAAGTGCAGTTTTGGGTTCCCATTCTGAAACCCAGTGGAATTATTGAAAATTCGAATATGAAAATGGGCTAAAATATTGACCCTTGTTTTGAAGAAAGATTTTAATGTTAAGAACTAGAGGATTCAATCACAAATCCATAGAGGTATCGAACTTCAAAATCGGGATCCAATTACTCAAGTTATGGATTATAGCAGTGCAGTCTTAAGAACAACAAAGTCATTAGTTATACCCAATTGATGTTCCCATACTTTTTCTCTCAGTGCAGGCAATGTCATGGCAGCACAGCCATCTGAACTCCCCCGCAATCCCCCCGTCCTTCGTTTTCGGCTTGTGGTTGTCGCTTTTGTGGCTGCCCCGCATTTTCCGCCCCCGCCCGAATTTTCCCTCTCTGTTTTCGCCGTCGCGCCTTTTAGTATTAATTACAAATGAAATTTTCTTATCATTTCAGTTGCCGTTGACAACTTTCTGTCTGCTGGCCCGTCTGGGTCACCATCGCCTTCGACCTGCCGACCCCTGAGGCAGAGGACCTCCTCTAGTTTAGGGCCAATAAGCAAAAATAGTTGCTGCTAATTGTTGTTCGCCGTTTATGGTTATTGCCAATGCGTGCTAATTGTCACCAGCCATCTCCTTGGGCTCCCTTTTCGGGCTTTTCAATTTCGGCTTCGATGCTGAGTTTTATTTTGTATTTCGTATTTCTTATTTCGTATTTCGTATTGTGTTTCCTGCAGGAAATTAATGGCGACACTTTAGTTGCGCTCAATATTGTCAGTCTCTGCTGTCAGTGGGATTTCTTCTTTTTCCTTACTGATACTCTGGGTTGGTGGGAGTTTTACTGAAAAATATCTAAGCCTTAAGTATTTGCCATTTAAAAAATATTTCCTACACTGCAAAGAAATGATTTGTAATCACTGAAATAATACGAAAATACTTTGAATATTATTTTATAGTACTTTTAAGTGATGTATTTTTCGATGGGAAAAAGTATTTCTCCAATGATATCAAAAATACTATTTTCATAAGATATATTTAAGGA